AAAATGAATTTAAAAAAAAAAAAAAAAAAAAAAAAAAAAAAAAGATTAAATAGAAATTATACATATAATAATGTTAATTATGTAAATTAAACGAAAAATGTATATTTATAAAAAAGGAAAATATAATCACATAAAAAAAAAAAAAAATAAAATAAAATAAAAATAAATAACTTTTTATATTTAAAATTATTTATAATAACGTAAAAAATTTATAAACTAAGTAATTATTACTATTCATAACAAAAAAGAATGACAAAAAAAAAAATAAAAAAAGAAAAAGAAAAAGAAATAAACAATAACAGAATTTAATTAAATTTTGCTTTTTCTTTCGTTCTTTTTCTCTCTCTATATATATATTAAAATAAAGACTATTTTTTCTCAGATTAAGGATTATATCAAAATGTACTGTCATCTAATTTATCATTTTCTTTAAATTTATTCTGATTTAAATTTATATTGTCTAATTCATAGTCCATATTACTTTTATTAAAATGATAATATTTATTTATTGTAGATACATCAAACCAATTATTATCTTTTGCATATGAATGAATTAAATTAAAAAATCCAAAGTTATTTTCATTATCATTTTTTTTTTCGTTTTCACCATATTTAATATACTGAGAAATATTTAAAATACTTTCTTCGTCTTTTTCTTCTATATTTTTTGCACAATCATTTTTTTTTTTCTTATTTTTATATTCATTAAACTTATTTATTTCTTGCTTTTCTTTTTCATTTAATTCTTTCTCATATTTATTCATCTTTGCTTTAACTATACTTTCGGATTTGTTTTCTTCTTGAAAATTATTATCTTTAAACTGCTTATTAAAATAATAAGCATGTCTTTTTAGATTGCTAAAACTTTTTCTTTGTTTTTTATTACTCATAAAATTATTATCAATAAAATTATTTGGATATGTTAAAAAAGAATCCTTATTTTCTGATATATCCTGCTTATAAAAACTAAGATCATCTAAAGAGTTGTCATTAATATATTTTTTTTGATAAGAATGTAAAAATGAATCACTTTTATATAAATGATCACTAGCTTCATGATCCTCATCATAACGTAAATCATCTTTATTTATTACCTTAGAGTTGCAGGAATCATCACTTAATGAATTATTGAAATGTGAAGAATTGATAGTGTTCAAATTATTTTTTTTATTATTATTTTTATAAAATGGGTTCACTATTAAATTTTCCTTATCTTTATTATTATCATCTATATTATTATTGTTATAGAAAGTTTCATTATGCTTAAAAGTACTTGCATACATGTTACTATCAAGATTTACGTTTACCATATTTTTTACATCATTATTATCAACATTATTCTTAATATTACTGGTATAGTTATTAATAAAATTACTACTTGAAGAATTCAAGTCTCTATTTTGATCTATATTTTTATTAAGATTATTATTAGTACACATGGTATTAATGGAGTTATTTTTTTTGCTTTTTTGTTTATCATTCTTTTTTTTATTTATATTAATAGGACTATTAATTTCATTAGAAGGATTTCTAAAAAACATAATACCACTATTGCTACTATTTTTGCTAGAAGGAGTATTTTCATTTTGGTTATTTTTTTCATTACTACTTAAAATTTTATAATAAAATGTATTTACATTATTTTCTTTTAAATTTTCAGAATTATTTTTTTTCTTGTATGCACAATTAGAAGTTGGTTTTAGCTCTTCTTCACTTTTTTTTTTTAATAAATTATTTGAGAAAAAATTTAGTAATGGAACTCCATCTAATACAACGAAATTATTATCCTCCGAATTGTTCATATAATCTTCTTCCACATTTTTAATATTATTCATGTTATTTTTAACATGGTTAAAATGATAATTCGTAATATTTTCAATAGCGTATTTGCATTGATTATTAAAAAGAATATTGTCCTTTTCAATATTATCAAAAAGAAACTTCAGTTCTTCATTTAAAACAATGGATTCTGACTTCTTTATAAGTAATTTAGCAATTAATATATCATCATTACTTTCATTATATTTCAGTGATTTTAGTAATTTTAATATTTTTTCAAATTTATGCTTCATCAAATAACTTTTCAATATCTTCAGTAATGCAATGGAGATAATTATAATCATTTTTATACTTGTACTAAATAAAAAATCCCATATAACAATTACACTTTTAATAGGTAAACTAGCAATAAATAAAGTGAGCATCCACTGGTGTAAATACACAGGAGGAAATACTTCTTCTCTATTGAAGTGTTCTACTAAATCAGGAATTTCATTTTGTAAAATTTTTTCAAAAACATAAATATATTTATTTAATAATGGAAACTTTTCTTTGTAAAATTCATTTAAATGATAGTTATTCATTAAACTAACTAATACACAAAATGTTTCTAATTCATTAAAATTACTAACTATTAGTAATAACCCAACTAAAAAATTCATACCTTGACAGTATCCAACTGTTGGTTCATAATTAGAGTAGGCATTTAAAATTCTATATAATTGCTGTTGTGCATATTTATCAAAGATTAGTAATTCAGGAAAAGTTCTAGAAATATCAATTAAAATTAAATTAGTATAATATGATTTTTTCTTTGACAAATAATAATATTTCTTTTGAAATTTACTTATTAAACATTTTGCATTAGTTATTTGAAACCATATTTTCCATCTATATTTTTGGGGTATACCTCTTTTTACTCTTCTTAAATAAGTTGTTCTGTGTGTTTTAATAAACCATGTAATATCCCTATTTATCATTGATGACCATTTCTCTAAAATTCTTATATTATTTTTTTCTCCACATGATAATAATTCGTTTGTGTAATGTTTACGTAAACCAATAGTTGGATCATATATTTTTTTTTTTGTTTCTTCCCAATCTTCTAAAAATTTTGTTTCTTCATCAATATCTATGCATGATGAATTATCAAATGTGTTGCAATTTATATCATTTATTGAATCTTTCTTAAAATAATCTTTATTCAAGGATTCATTGTATATTTCCTTTTTTATATTATAATTTTCTTCCTTTTTATTATTTATATCACCGTTTTCTTTTATATTATAAATATCTTTATAATTAATAGAATTGTTATTGCCTTTTAACAAATTCACATTATTTTTTAAAGAGTTTTTGTTAATGGAAGAATCTTTTTTATTACCTGAAAAAAATTCATTCAACTGAAGTGGCTCAAATACACTTTTCATATTATTATTTTGAGAATTTATTACATTATTTTCATTTTCATTTTCATTTTTTTTATTCATATGTTTTTTATTTTTACTCATTATTCCTACATTTTCATTTTTTTCTTTTTTATTTTTGTTAATACAATCTAGCTCCACTGATGTCAATTCGTTCATATTACAGGGTATGGAAGTATATCAAAAATGTTTATATATTATTAAATGGGAATGGCATAGAATAATAAAATAAAATAGTAAAAATAAAAGTGACAATAGCTATCACTAAAATAAAAATTAAAGTAAAAATCAAAAAAATTAAACTCTATATATGATATCTTTTTATTTTCATATTTATATCTAAAAGAAATTTAATTAATGAAATGAAGTAGCTATTTTTTTTTTTTACAGAGTTAAATATTATTATTATATGGATTTATTTAAAAATTTTTAACTCAAAAAAAAAAAAAAAAAAAAAAAAAAAAAGAAAAAATAAAAATTAAGGCATTTATTCATAATACATTTAAAAGCTACTATTTTTAATGTATTTTTTTTTTTTTTTTTTTTTTTTTTTTTTCTTATTTCCTTTTTTCCTTACATACTGAATTATAAAATATTGAAAGTACTTTTATAATTTCATTTTAATTATATAATGAAAAACTATGAAAATAATGACGAAAAAAAAAATTTAATACAATAACAAATTTATTCAAAGCTTTTTTTTTAAGTATATTCTTTTTTATTTTTCTTTTAATCACAAAATGAAAAAATAAAAAAGAAATATTATATAAAAAAATAAACGTATGTCGTTAAAATAAATCTTACAAAACTTCATTATACACATTTATCATATATATGAAATATTAAATATATTTCATTATTTTCATTCTTTTTTATTCTTTTTTTTTTTTTTTTTTTTTTTTTTTTTTTTTTTTTTTGTTATATATACTCAAAGATGCAATTGCCTTGTTTTATTTAATTTTTATTTATTTGCTTATTTTAATGTAATTCCACATTATTTTCTCATCATATGTTTACATATATTTAATTTTATTTTTTTTATGCACTTTTTGCACACAAATGAATAACATTTTACATAGATATATTTCCAATTTAATTTTTATCAATTATATTCATAGCATAAATTTGCTACATTTTCATGTTTTTTTAATTATTTTGTCATTTTTTATTTTTTCTATCATATTAAGCATTAAATGTACGAAGAGAATATGAAAGGAGTAATCTTTTAAACATTCAAGTTATCTTTGTATATATTTTTTTTTTTAAACTGTATATTAAAACGAAATATAAATAAAAAAACGAACTATTTAAAAAGACCTATTATTATACAACATAAAATGCTGCTACATTTTTATATATATTTACTTATATATTTATTAACTTTTTTATATATTTGTAAGTTGAGTCTTCTTTGAATTAAAAAATTTTTAAACTCATATGCTTTTTTTTTAATATACTTAAATACAAACAATATTAGCTTCATTAATACAATTGGCTATTATTAAAAAAAATATGTTTACTTATATAACCCAAAAATACGTTTGACTACTATATTAAGGAAAAATATAATTTATAAAAAAATCATAGAGAAACTATTATGATGAAATTAAGAAATAATAAAAATATAAAATACATAAAAACATATTCATATTATTTTATTTATGTTGTCTCCCTTTTTGTGAAATATATATAATTAAAAGTAATTTTTATTAAATTTCTATATGTAAAGTATATCTTTAGATTCTCAAATATGTTCCCTTCTTAATGAGTTTCATATTATTAAATGTATTTATCAGTAATTTTATAAATTAAAAATGAAAAAAAATAGTATCTATATTTTTCTAAAAATTTTTATAGAATTTAATAATATAAAAAAGTTAAACACAATTTAAATTTTTCTCTTTAAGTAAAAAATACCTTTTTATATAAAAATACATTTAAAAAAAAATTTATTTATAGATTTACCATAAATGAGATGTATGTATGAAAAAAAAAAAAAAAAAAAAATAATAGAAAAATAGTATTTTGTTGAAATAAAAAATAATTCTTCATAATTAAAAATAAGAAAATAAAAAATATGAATGACATATTTTTATCTATATTTTCATTAAAAGCATTCCGAAGATATTTCATTTTATTAAAAATTTGAAAAAAATAATACAAAATTTTTAAAATTTTCAAATAATTTTCTTAATAAAAAGAGGAAGAGTGAATTTTTGGATTATATATTCAGTTGTTTAGTTTCTTATATATATTAAAAAAAATATACATATATATATCTGGTTAAACATTTAATTTTTGTTAATTTTGTTTAAAGATATAACATTTTTATTTTTTTCGAAAACCTATCATATTTTTTTTCATAAATTTAATAAAAAAAAAAAAAAAATGAAATGAGAAAAATAAAAATGATATAACATAAGATATTCATATATATATATATATCCTTTTTTTACTAATTATTACTAAATATGTTTCTTTTATTTATCTTTGAAATATATCGAAAATTTTTATAATTTGTTTTTTCTTTTAAAAGATCTTTTTCTTTCTGCCTATTTAAACAAACATAGCTGAAAATAATAGACATGAATACTTTTATAAAAAAAAAAAAAAAGAGATAAATTTTAATAAATGTAACATGGATATATGCTTAGAAGATGTGCTAAGAAGTGAAGAATGTAATAATCTAGAGAAAATATTAAAGAAATTTTTTTCTTCTAACATTCCAATAAGTTTTGAAATAATAAAGCTAAAAAAAAAGAAGAAATATTTTGAAGCATTGACACAGTTAAAAAACAATAAGTATACATTAATTAATGAATGTTATTATATTTTATCTAACATTATTTCTTCCATATTAAAAGGTTATTTGAGAATAGAAAATGTTAACAAGAATAAAAGATATTTTTTAATATATATATGGTTTGTTCCATTATGTGAAAAAAAAGAGAAAAAAAAAAATAGTACGAATATTATGATAAATAATAATTTGAATATTACACATGAGAAAAAAAATGTAAATAAAAATTTTTTTTTTTACGGTTTATATTTTAGTGAATGGATTATAGTAGTACTTAATAAAATTTTTCGTTCTTTAATTTTACAAAATGATAAAATTCCTATAGAAAATTGGTCTTTTGTTATTGATTTAATGAAGTTTATTTTTGTAGATAAACATATTATAATTAAGTATTTGCATAACGTAAGTATATTACATAATTTTAATTGTTTAGGAAATATTTCAAGAAATAAAGAGAGTGAATCCCAAAATAAAAACTTTAATGACATAAATTTCAACAATGCTTTAGAAAATTATTATGAAGACATTAATAAAATAACTAAAGCTTACTTCTCTTTTCCTTTTTTATTATTTAAATGTATAACAAAAGGATTAAATTGTAATGATGAAAAAAGAAATTTATATATTTATAATCATATCATTCCGAAACAACTAAATGAAAAGGGTTTCTATAAAAGGGTTGTTCAGTTATGTGCCTTTAGTTGGTTTTCACTAAAAGATTCTAATATAAATTATGAAAAAATAATTAATTTAACTAAAAAAATTATAAATTTAAATTTGTGCAGTTCATTATGCACAACATTATTGTATAAATTTTTACAGTGTAAAGTAAGTTTTATAGAAAAAAATGGACTCTGTAAAAAAGAGAAAAAAGAAATAAATGAGACCAATGAAATAAGTGAAGTTAATGAATTAAATAAGGACATTAGCATAAATAAAAAGAATATTAAATATTCAAAATATGAAACAAAAATGAATATACTATTTAATTTAAATTATATAATAGAAAATATATTCTATTACTTACATATATATTGTACTGAAAATGATGGCAAAATATTTTTGTCTTGTATAATGAAAAAATTGCTTCCATTTATTAATATTATTGAAAATAATAGTTTGTTATATTTGTGTTTATTTAATAAAAATGTCAATGTTATTTTAAATATTGTTATTAATATTGTTTTTTTGTATGAATGGAATTTATTTTTTTTGGAGAATTTTTTTAACCCTTTTTCAAAGAATTGCTTACCTTTATGCTATGCTTTAGCCGTCATTGACATAATTAATAATTTAATTAATTGTAAGTCAATTTTCTTTATATCTCTGTTTAAAAATTTTTCCAAAAAAAGAAAAATAATTCATTCTGTTTCTATTCAAAATGAAAAGAAAAATTACTTTGAAGTAATTAATGAATTAGAAAACGAATTTTTAAATGAAAATGATAACAATATAGATGACTATAGCATAGAATTAATATCAGCAAATTTTTTAAAAGATATGTTTTTCTACATTTTAAATATAATTTCTGATGATAGACAAGAAGAGTCAGAAAAGGTTTTTGTTTCTATTATTTTAAGTAAATTATTATATACATTTGGTAAACATATTAAAAATATAAATAAAAAAATTACAAAAAATTTATATAATTTTGAAATATTGTCAAAAAAGGAACTTTTTATTTACAACCTAACTATGTCTAACATTAACGTATTTGAAAATATTACTAATAGAGTACAACATTTATTTAAATGTAATGATGAAGTGTCTTTATACTGCGGACAAATAATAGGAGAATATTTTAGATATTATGTTAATAATCAATCATTTAAAAAAAAAAAAGACACGAATGAGAATAAAGAAAATGAATCTGAGAATAATGATGAATGCAATAAATTAATTTTTCCAAATTTGCATCAACCAATTGAATATTTACCAAAGCAAATTTTGTGTTTTAAAGTAATTAAACAAAAAAAATTTATTTATTTAGATGATTTGATTTTGAAAAAAAATGTAAACAAATTCAAAATAAAAGAACATTCTCTTAGAAGAATAAAATTAATGTTAAATATTGATAATAAAGAAAAATATTCAGATACCAATAAAACATACAAAGAAGAACAATTTTTGGAAGATATGATATATAGATGCAAGAAAAAAAAAAAAGAGACAACCAAAAGTCATAAAATCAAACATGAATATAAAGAAGGTGAAGATGAATATGAGGAAAATGAAGATGAATATAAAGAAGATGAAGATAAATATGAGGAAAATGAAGATGAATGTAAAGAAGGTGAAGATGAAGAGGATTGGTATGAAGAGGATGGAGATGAAGAAGATGAAGATGAAGAGGATGGAGATGAAGAAGATGAAGATGAAGAGGATTGGGAAAAAGAAGATGGAGATGAAGAGGATGGAAATGAAGAAGATGGAAATGAAGAAGATGGAAATGAAGAGGATGGGATTGAAGAAGATAGAAATGAAGAGGATGGGATTGAAGAAGATAGAAATGAAGAGGATGGGGATAAAGAGGTTTTGGATGAAGAAGATAGAAATGGAGATGAAAATAAAAATGAAATTGGGTTTGAAGAAAGTATATATTATAAAAATAAATCTGACAAGCGTGAATTTGAAGATAAATTTGAAAATTATAAAGATGAGGAAAAAATATATAAATATGAAAATGACACTAAAGATGGAAATAATATTATTTTGAATAAATGTGATATTTATAAAAAAAAGAAAATGTTAAAAAGAAATTTAATGATGCAAAATGCTATTAATATAATAGAAAATGATTTATATGATCTTCAAGAAAAAAAATTTTTGCTAAAATTGGAAAAGGAAAATGAATATTATTTAAATATTGATATCAATAAAAACATATATATAGATCCATCAGAAGACTTATTTGAATGTTTAAATAGATTAAAAGAAAAAGCAAATTACATTGAAAGATATGATGATGATATTAATAATGATGTTTTAAAATTAAATGAAAAAAAAGAAAATTATGAAGAGGAAACTTTTCGAATATGTCAAACTATAATTTTCTTACCACGATTAATTAAGAAATGTGATATATTATCTTATATTGGTTCAAACATATATGAAGTTTTGCTATCATTAAACAATTTATCAATTATAAATAAAGGAAAAGATTATTTCTTAACTTATAAATTATTTGATATGGTTTTACTATGCATTAATTTACCTCTTGATATAAGTAAATTTGTTTTTAACAATATTTACTCGAATTTTTATTCCAATATTCAAAAAATGTTTATGTTGTTATCACTTCAATACACAGCATTATATTTATCAAATAACATTAAGCTAAATGAAATATTTATGAATATAAAAAATCTTATGAAATCTGTGAGTTTTTCAAAATCAATAATGAAAAACAAACGTTTTTTAAATGAAGAACTTGATTTGAAAGATTTCTCAGAAAAATATTATAATGAATTTGAAAAATTTTCAAACAAAAAATATCTTAATAAGAATATAGATAAAATTTTAGTGAAAAATAATCATTACGAAAGTGAAAATAAAAATATAATTAATAGCGAATATCATTTAAATAACAAAATAAAATTGAATGATAATAATATAATTTATAATATAGAAGAACAAAATAACTCAGTTACGTCTCAAGAAAATTTATCAGACGATTTATTAAAATCTGAAAGTTCATTAGAAAAGTATGAAACAAATGAAATTGTGGAAAACAAATATATATATAATAAAAAAAAAAAACATAGTGAAAATATGAAAACTGTTCATCATAAAAAATGTAATAAAAAAAAAAAGATAAATTATTTTTTAAAAGTATGCGATTTCTTTTTTAGTAGTGTTTATACAAAATTATTTTGTCTTAATATAAAAAAAGAAGTGACGAACATAGATTATGATGAATATAAAATAAAAAAGTTTTATTCGTCTGACTCTTCTTTAATATTATTTTTAATTTCTTCTTATACTTTATTTTTTAACTGTTCAAGTAATTCATATTTACACATAGATGATATCTTAGTTGATGGTCTTAATATAGGAAGTTTTTTTATTCAAAATAAAAATTTTCTTGTTAGAAGAATAACTTACAAATTATTATTTCATTTAATTAATTTTATTTTTAAAAAAAAAAAGTTTTATATTTTAGAAAATGAAAATTATATTAATATAATGAATTACATATCAAGTAAAATATATATGGAAAAGGATTTTTTATCTTTGCAGTATATGAGGGAATTGCTACATTATCATAAGATTATAAAATAAAAAAATAAAAAATATAATTATTTGAAACACCTATCCATATTAAAATATTTGTGCATTTGTATGATTTGTATATTTTTGTACAGCATATTTTAATGATTATTTTATGTATAATTCTACATTATTATTCATCTTTGTTTTATTTTATTTTAATTAAAAAGTTATTAGAGTTACTATCTTCAATATTTCATTAGATGAATATATCTCATATCTTTATCCTATTTTTTTCTTTTTTTTTTTTTTTTTTTTTTTTTTTTTTTTTTTAAAA